GGACGGGGACGGGGGGGTGGTGGTGGTGGTGGTGGTGGTGGTGGTGGTGGTGGTGGTGGTGGTGGTGGTCGTTGAAATCACTGGGAGATACGCTCGGTTGGAGTCACTTAAGCCACTGCCGTTAAGTAATGGGCATTAAAAGGAGTAGGTATGCCCATTACACGGAGATGCGCCATTGCTCGGACTCGCGTTACAGCCGTGGCACGTAGTAGTAATGGTAGTTTGCATGCGGTGTGCGCTTGCCGCCGATCGTTGACGAATCACTAGGATAAGTTAAAGTTATTCGAGGGACCACCGACACGTTCCTTACGTTGGATCTCCTTACGCCCGTTAACAATCGTACGCGTCTCGCGTCCTCGTACGGCTGAATAAATGCTAACGACGCGGCGACTGCTCTTACGCTCGCGCCCCCGGGATGGACAAGTGCGTGTCAAAAGAGCCGCCATTGGCATTCCATGCGCAGTGTGCGTGCGCAAAGAAAGAATCGACGGCATTATTGCGGATGGGGCATGTCGCGCCAAGCGTTCGCGGCGCCTTTGTTCGTAGACGTGGCGCACGTGTGTGGTAAGAAGGGCCCGGAGCGCCGGGGAATGACCATGTCCTGGGCGAGCCCACGAGGGTTCACGATTACGAGTCTTCGTTGGGTGGACCGCGTCGGGGAAAGAGGCTGCCGTTGGGTGTTCGGGTATTATCGAATGAGGGAGATCTAGGGAGGGCCTGATGGAATATTCGAAATGCTAGTGGGCCTTGAAACAGTGTATATGCGCTGTCTAATTGAGCGACCAACTGGGCTTGATAAGCAATTTAATAAGCCACGATGACAATGTCGATCGTAGCCAAGTCGATAACCGTATATTGCGTCGTTGGCCATAAAATGTTAACGCACCCTGGGCTTTTGATATTATTGTAAATTAAAAGGAATCCCTTTAAATTAAATGTAGCTGATGTCCAAATTTTAACAGTGACTCACCTTAACGAACTCTTCTGACGTCCCTCCGGGGCCTTTTTGCGTGCTCTCTCTTTCTTTCCCCCTCCCATTTCCCCCCTCTCACACTCTCTCACTCTCTCTCTCTCTCTCTCTCTCTCTCTCTCTCTCTCTGGTTCTTCGCATACGCGTATATCTTGGATAAAATCGACCGTATCGAAATGGAGCAGAAGAAAAAGAGAGCAAGGTAGGCTCAGGGAGAGAAGAAAAGGATGAAATGGCGAAATGGAAAGTAAAAAGAGATGCTGAAGATAAAAGCCCGAGAAAAAGAAAGAAACAAGACACGAAAGGTTCTTCGGGCGACAGAGATGAATAAGTATTTGCAAGTCCTATTTTTAAACTAGTATAATATAAAAAATGTCGTAAAAATTTTTTTATTATGCTATTTAATTGCATGTATTGCTATTTCTCTCTCTCTCTATCTCTCTCTCTCTCTCTCTCTCTCTCTCTCTCTCTCTCTCACCCTTATACCTATGCATATGTACGTGTAAATATATATATATATATACATTTATAAATTTGATGTAATATAATCATACACGAAGTCAATACAAATAGTGGATGCGAAGCGCATTTTTATTTTCCCCATTATTTCACCTTTTATTGAGAAAATATCATTAATTATAAATAGCTCGAATACTTTAGAGCGAACATCTAATAAATTAGTTACCAAGGATAAATTTCTTCGATAAGTGTAAATTACCATAAATACGTCGGTTAAATTAATTTCATCACTTGTTCTTGATACATATTTTCACACCAGATCTCGCGCAATGAAATTTCACATAGTACAACCTCGAAATGTCTAACACATTGATAGCCAATAGCTATACCTCATAATATTAATTGCTTGTTAAAGGTTGAAATAGCAATTTTTATATGACTCGTCGGCTAGTGTAAATATCAAAATTATATATCTACATTCTAGCATGATGCGGATTAATAGTTAAACATTAATATTACAGTGAAAAATGTAAATTCTTCTAGATACCTTATAAGCAAAGGCAAATAGTATTATAAATTTTACTCTACTAAGAAGCAATCTTTCTTAAAAGGTTAAAGATTTGAATACAATTATGTATATATATATATATATATATATATATATATATATATATTATTAAATATGCTTGTAACGTGTATAATTTAAAATTATAAATATATTATGGATGAATTGTGAGTGCTGGATAACATGTATTACATACGATTGCATTCAAACATAAATCCATATTTCCGTTTATTATTTCTTTTTACATTATCATGCTACCATTTATCCATTTTTTTTATGCAATAATACGAGTGCGAGCAGGTTTTAATATATGATATAATAAAAATATTATTATTATTATTATTATATAATACAATATGAATACTATCGTCTTGCACTTTTTATTTCATAATACTTGTCTTTTAGCTGCACCGAAACTTGGAAAAGTTCGGTGGAACTCCATCGTTATATTATTCGTTACAACAAAATCAGCGTATCTTATAACTCGAAATTTATTCTAAATTCCATACCACGATCGCGTTAAATATGATTCAACTTTTTATAATATTGTCGAATTCTTGGGCGCACGGCACGACGTTTCATTGTGTGCCGTAATCGAGCTTTAAAGCGCAGCTTGACCAATGTGACGGACTAAATAGATAATCAACGGCTACTAACTCATGCGTGGAACAAAAATCTGATAACTGTCATCGAATAAAAGCGAGTTGAACAATATTTTATTGTCGAGATGGGAGAACAAAGGCTTTTCTCCTGAAAGACGATCCAAATAACCAGTGACAAGGTTGTTCCCCGTATTTAAATTCAGTTCTTAGCGGGGCTAAAGATTCTGCCCAACAACAAGCGGTGACGATAATGGCAAGTTCGTTTGCAAGGAGAGATTCTCGTGGCCCTTTGGAGAATGAACTTACCGAACGAGAAGAAGAATATACAATTTATACAAGCGAGTTATTATGCTTGGCAGCAGCATCACTATGCATAAGAGAGGAATCGGCCCGCGGGCCACGTGTCTGCCTATCCGACGGCGCCCCCACCACTTATTAAGGTAATCCTTACAATTACGGAAAAATGCGCCGCCGCTCGCACAAATAGTTCTCCCTCTTCCTCCCGCCACCCTCGCTCTCTCTCTCTCTCTCTCTCTCTCTCTCTCTCTCATCTCGCGTATACGTACATTTGCGCGCTTGTACGCACGCACGCACGCACGCACGCACGGATGACCCGCCCTTCTTACGTTGCTATGTTCTCAATCATCAGCGTTGGCGTTGGCGACCGAAGGTTCAGATTTCTTTTTATCGTGGCCAACACGCGCCTCCTATCCAATGCGCTGGGGAAGCGAAAAAGCGAGCTTGCCGCGAATCTCCGAAGCCCTTGATTTTTTGCTCCAGCTCATCTCGTCAAATCTCTTGCCCCCTCCCCCTCATCGCCAACCGCTAAACCACCACCCGCCATCATCACCACGCCGAAGCCCGCACACACTGCCGATTGTTTAATTTCGAGTAACCCTTCTAGTGCCCCTCCCCCGCTACGATTACCCGCTCCCATGCATTTTTCTTCCTCTCTCTTCTATGCCCAACTCGCACTTGTTATAAGTCTCGGTGCTACATTTCGTCGGTGCCCGCTTATTAACGAAGACCTAGGCATTTTTACCGGCCACGCTTTATCTATTTTTGTCAATGATTTTTACACGGGCACTGAACTTTTACTTAAGGAATAACAACGGGAATTGTACGATCGATACGTTGGTAAAATTCTGCCTGTGGGTTGACGTCTAACAATTAATGACAATGTAAATTATCCACATAGGGCTTATGGTTATTACAACAAAAGATCAAATGAGAAAAACAATTTTAGAATACACAACATTGGGATGAATATTAGCCAATCATGCCTTACTTTAAATTATATGTAAAGTAATTTGACAATGTTTCGACAACAAAATAAATATTATGGGATTATTAATGTTATGGGGGCTTGCGTGCACGAATAACAATCATTGGCATCGACATAATAATGTATAGCCTGGTAAGGTGAATTAATTTTCATCGGTTTATGAAAATCCTTGATAACGTAATAGAATGACAATGAAGTGCATATTGTCGCTCGTTCACCAATGAGCGCATAAAGAATTTGAGACCAATCAACTTCAACATTTCGCATTTTCATCCATAAAGATCCTAAATCAAGAATTCCGTCGTTGATACGAGGACGAAGGGGACGGTGGGGAGGTAAGGCAAGTCTAAGGTATTATATATTGATTCACCTGTTACATTACTGTTGGAAATGCGGCGGCGGTTGGGATCGTTACCATAGTCAAGGCTCGCGAGATTTAAGCGGTAATTTTCTCAGTGCAACCAACCGCACGAGATCAACGGTACTTGCATTAGCAGCCGTGTGAACGATCGCGAAATCGCGTTCGTGGCCGCTATTGGCCACTCGACTCTGAAACTCGACATGAAATCTCGCGCTTCCTCGAATTCGGTCCTTCCTGCTCATCTCCATCTCAAAATCGAAGGATACGCCCGATGCACACGCTGAAAGATGGAAATAACCGCGGCTTTTTTTACACGAACTAACCATAACGTTTCTACATATATTCCAATACTCCGACCTCGATAACAGATCTTTATTCCGACATTTAACTATTATTTTACAATCTTTTATCACTTCATAAATATTATCGATATTATGACAAATTGCGAAGTCCAATTGGGCTTAACCCATTTAGCTCATTCGAGATAATATCTCGTTAATTATCGATACTAAATCGAAATCGTTCATTACAGATCAATTAAGTGGTGAAATCAGAAAATTTCTTGATTAAAAAAGTAAGAAAAAAAAAAAAAAAAAGGATGTCAGAATAAAAAAACAACAACCTATCTTCACGTTGATAATTAATAACTAAAAATTCTTTTGTTTACATGATGATGATGCATTCGATTGGTATAGTAGTCTGTTAAAAAAAAAAAAGTTTTATTATTTTGGAGGCTTAATTTTCAAATCGAATCGATAAATTATGAAATATTATTGTGTACATGAATAATGTTTCATGTCAGGAAGATCCGCAAAAACCTATTACGAGAATTAAAATAGATTAAAAGATTTAATACAATATTGTGACTTGCAATATTTATCTATATATATATATATACACACACGCACACACAAATACACGTGCGCATACATAGGCTCTGAAACAAAATAAAATATTTGGATTTTCTTGAATGTTATAAGTGAAATATGATATGTGATTTCTGAAAATATTCACACATTTATCATAATCTATCAGTTGTTATTTAAGCATTTTAATTATGCATGACTAGCTCGCATAAAAGCATATTTATTTATACATTAAAAAAATTAAGAAATATTAATTTACACGTTCTTTATTTGATTGAGTTAATTAATGACATTCCATTTAATTCTGGTATTAATAATAATATGGTAGTGCATATGTTTTCAGAATAAAATGTTTTTATCGAGAAATGATACTAATATATAATAATTTATTTATAGAAATAAAAAATTTTTTTTTGTAAATATATCGTAATTGATGATTCTTTTTATTCGTACGTGAAACTATTTAATGCATGCAAATTATTCAAATATACAGTTAATTAACTTATGTACATTAGTTTACTCAAACATTTCAGTTAAAATGTATCCAACTGAATGAAAAACAAATATCAAAGATGGTAGTAGCAAAAAGTGGATCTATGAATAGAAAATACGTAATCGCGGCTGAAAAAACCTTCGCGCCATCTTCAATAAATTCTCATGAAAGCAGATCGGTCAAACGAAGCGAATGACCTAATCTGATAAATTAGCATTTAACGCTGGGATTGAAATCGCAACATCATCGTGCCGCTCTTTTCCCAGGACAATTTCTGATATAATGTTTCTAATGAGAATCTAAATGGCAGAGAAAACTCTTTCTTACATAGAAATTCAGTGTTGAATTATCAATATCGCGCCTTCTTATTAATCTTCTGACTAATCCACATTTTTGTAACGGAAAAAAAAAATGAAAAAAAAAAATTAGGTTCATTGTATAGGTTAATTGTATTGTACATTAATTCCCTCCCCCCCCCCCCCCCACCCCCCCCCCCCCCCCCCCCCCCCCCATCCATCCGCCAACTGCCTGTTCTTCAAATGTTTGCCTATCAACTTTACTCGGAGTGCAGTTACACTTCATTGGATTCGCATCGAAGTTAGCAATGCCTAATGTTTTCATACCGACTGCATATTGATCCAACGTGATGTAACCAATATTGTCGGGATCAAGACTTGTAAATAAACTTTCTATGTGCCTGGAAAATGAAAGTGGAGCTATGAATGTTAACGCCTCTAACGATTGACAATAATTAATCGAGAATAAACTATTCTTTCTTACATTATGTTATTGAATATATTAGTAAAGTCTTACTCGTGTGTTTGGATTTAAAAATTTGGCCGTTATGATCGAACTATTTCATTCTGTATATCCCTATTTTCTAATTTTATCCATCTAATTAGCGTTCATTGTTATTGGTTCATAGAAATATGTCACTCAAAGCAGTAGCTTACGCTGTATAACATACGATTATTCATTTATATTGTCATTTAAAAGTTTTCAATATGCAAGTGTAGATTGTTTAGTTGCAATAATGAAAAAAAAAGTCAGTTCTGCGTCGTAATTCTTTATAATTATATCACCTTCCGGCCATATCGTTAGAAACGCCTATGGAAATATCTGTACGCGAGCTCGGTAAAAAAAAAAAAATTGTTACATTAGCCATTATCTTATTAAATATCGATATCGCCTTAAGCTATTGAACAAAGACACGATTGAAGCCAATTCGGCCGTCAAGTCCGACATTAGCAAAGGTAAATTCCTTAAATAAATACATCATATACGCACGTGCATGGCTAAAGATAAGCCAAAATAACCTAGTCGCTTAGTGTATAGTAAGAGGTGATAAGCAAAAGAACAATGGGTCTTGAAGAATAGTCTTGAAGGACCTTAATTGACCAACAGGACGCAAGGCATAAAATATATTTTATCTCTTCTTTAGTACATTAATTCGCTCGAAAGAGCGCACGAGGCGGCAGGGGGTATAAGTGGTTAGCGTGTATGAGGTCGGCGGCATTGGGGCAGGTGGTGGGAGGGAGTGAGAGAGACAGAGAGTGATAGAGAGAGAGAGAGAGAGAGCGAGAGAGAGAGAGAGACAGAGACAGAGAGCGAGCGAGTGAGATTGAGCGTGGCTTGAGAGTGTGTGAGTGGGGGGGGGGGGAAACGGGGG